TAGCTGAAAAATATGTATGCTATATTTAATCTGATTGGTAATGATAAGGTAGAATAATAGTTTTACTCCAAAATTTTGACTCTAAAAGAGTCATCCAATCATCTATATTATTAAAACTTAAATATAAATTTTATTTTCAACAGATTTATTACATTTTTTATTTCTTTATTTCCACTCATCTTAATTATAATAATTGATTCGTTTTAAATAAATTGATAGTATTTCTTATAAAAATAGAAAACAAAACTTAAATATTTTATTATATTTTTTACATTTTTTCATTTTTCAAACTACTTCATTAATTTTATTTACCATAATAGTTTGATGTCATTATTTTATGTGTTAGCTATAATTTCACATGTTTGAATAAAATTATTCCATTAGTATAATAATTCAAATGAGTTAACAAAGAATTATTTTTTGTTTATATAATCAGCATTCAGGTAAACGCTTCGATACAAACCAGTTTTTAAAGTATGTGGTTTTTGGAAATTAAACTCTGTTTGGATATTATAAACTTTCGGAAATGATTCAAATCAGATTCTTCCGGATCCATATAGATTCGTAAAAATCTAAAAATACATAAATAATCTATATATGTTTAATTTCTAAAAAGGTAAAAGTTAATTTGATTTGTACTAGTTTATTTTATTAGCAAATGATAAACAAAATAAAGGCAAAGAAAGAGGCAAAAACAATTCGTAACGTTTTTATATAAAAAAAGTTGAACAATTACCACGTGTTAGGTACGCACGTGATTCTTGTGATCTCGCCTTTCTCGATTACAAAGAGCTCTCTATCTGTAAATAAATTGAGAAGAAGAAATAGATTTTTGAAGGAAAAATAGATCTGCACAACTTTTGTAAGTTCTAATACAAAACTAGTGTGGCTATGCAAATAAAGCAGAATCAAGAAAAAATGAAACAGATCGGAATATGCTCTTTATCGATTGACCTTTTATTCTTAACTAATGCTAAATATTTATTCAGAAAATCATGTATACTTGTCCCGGATTTGGTGGAAGGCCAACTCTTTCGACGAAATGGCAGAAAAGATTTGTTTTCTTTTCAGAGATTTAATTTAAATTGGCCTTTCGTTAACAATCTTATCAGGCCGTGCGATAGTTACTATCACATCCCTCCCATGACTCATGTGATCTCTTGAGGTAAAACATTGTACTGTTTGATCACTTATATTTTTTTCTAATGAAAAATGTGGAAACGGTACAACATGCTAAAATAGGAGGGAAAATTATTAATGTAGGCCACAACAAAAAACACACAAATAAATGTGAAAAACTAAATAAAAGAATATTTATTTTCAAAAAGGAAAATATAAAATACACAATAGCGTAGTAAAAAAATAAAAATACACAATAGCCGGAGAAGAAGCGACAAGCTAATAATAAAGATGCATGCATAAATCCCAATCCGAGGAGAGAAAAAAAAACAGAAGTGGAGATAATCCATCTTATTAAAATTAAGAAACTATCACGTTTGACAGAAAAAGTCCATAAGCGCCAAAATACAAGACAACACAAAACCAGAGCAGAACATAAAATAGAAGTATCAGGACCAAGAACATAAACTTGATGGTAATGATAGAGCTTTTAACTAGAAAAGAAGTATTGGAACATGTGATATTTTCTGTTTACACACAAATAAAACGTTACACAATTAGCATCAACTTCCACTGACCAATCATGAATTAGAATGCATTAATGTCATAGCCATTAAACACCTTAGACATCAATTTTTATTTGGTAAGCGTTCAAACACTTAACTTAGGCCTGGGCAAAAAAACCGGAACCGAAAAACCGAACCGGAACCGAACCGAAATACCCGAAACCGAAACCGGACCGAAATGCTTAAATATCCGAATGGTTCCTATATTTCTATACCCGAAAAACCGAACCGGAACCGGAACCGAACCGAGAACCGAACGGGTACCCGAATATCCGAAAAAACAAGTTAAATTTTTTAAAAATAAGATAAAATGACATCAAGGCCACTTGAACCCATGTTAGATACAAAGAGGAATTAGTTTTTTTACCGCCAAATCACATTATGTTTTATTTATTCTGTTATATTATAAATATATATGGTATTTCTATAGTAAAATATGATAAATATTTATAAAATTAACACTTTATTGATTTGAACTCTTGTTGGATTGACTAATATGTAAGCGTGTAAACACTAGACCATTTAAATTAACATATTAACTAATATATTCTGTTTATATATATTTGATTTATATATTAAATGGGTACCCGGAACCGAACCGAAACCGAACTGGAACCGAACCGAAACCGAACCGAAATCTCATAAGTACCTATTGGGTATAAGAATGATTTATCCGATATACCCGGAACCGAATGATTCCTATCCGGAACCGAACCGAATATCCGAATGCCCAGGCCTAACTTAACTGATCCATTCAAACATTTCATCAAATATATTCTGGTCACGAAATTATCTAACATCTAGACTAAGAGAAATCAAGTCTAGTCTACCATTAAACACATCAATCAAATAATGAACGATGCACATAGTCATACCAGAGATTTGAAGGAAATCTCTCAAAAACGTATTTAGCGTCTATTTTGGCCAACTCTCTATCATTTTTCTTTGGTTGATTGGCTTGTATATCCATGGTGCTCATTTTTCCAATTATGAAGCATATATGAGCGATCCTATTCACAATGGACCTAGTGGTAAGGTGGTTTGCTTCACTAGGGACTTCAGGAGAAGTTATTTTCTGTAGTACAGAGAGGACTTTAGTAAGTTGTGAGGCGAAGGCCTCAACGATTGTGGTTAATCGATCTTGGTATCTTTGTCAACCACTAAAAATTAGTCTTAAATATTATATTTCAACATCAAATAACCCTAATTTACCTAACCCAAAAGCTCAAAAAACTACTAACTTAAAGCCATGAAAATTCAAGAAATTGTTACTGATCCTTGAAGATTCATGTTTCAAGAAGAGTATAAGAGATAAAGTCAAGAAAAATCCTTAAATAAAAACAAGAACTACAAGAGTAGTGGTACGTATGCCGGTTCAATACCAGAAAAATAATTCTGCTTCTTAACTCTCGGTTCGGTTGGTCTAGAATCTGACCTTGACATTATTTTGACATGTGTATGCTATTTCTAAGTCATTTTGGAGGCTAAGATATATTTTTCATTAGACTTGAGAGGTTTATAGATTTGGGGAGATGAATATGTATTCTAATCTTGGCGAATTCTGAGTAGATCCATAATTAAGTTTAAGGCTTCAAAAGAACTCTTGGATTGATAATTTTCCGTGCATTTCTGCTCTGGTTTTGTGTTGTCTACTCTTGGCTATGTCTGACTAGATCCGTAATTAAGTTTAAGGCTTCAAAACAACTCTTGGATTGATAATTTTGTTTTATTAGTCATGAATAATATATTGATTTCTTCATCTAAGTTGATTTTAATGCTTGAATGTAAAAATCATCTAGTTCATGATTATTAGGTTATTAAATGCACTGAAAGTGAATGTTTGCATTCTTGAAACAAGCTTAGGTGAGTGATCTATTATTAGCCAACGAATGTTGATGTTAGTAAGATTCGTGAACCAGTCAAATCAATTTCTTTTATATGTTTAGGTTGTCGAATTCAATATAAAAAGATAGGTTAGTATTTTCAGAGAAGCCTAGTCTAATTAAATGTTTGAGTTCTAGAACGGTTCCTAATATATTATGTGTATCACAATTATATTTGTCAATATGTGCTCGAGAATTTCTTGAGACATGAAAAATCTCATTAGCTTAGTTAGTTTACACCGTATTAGTTTACATTATACCTCTGTTCGTTTCATCACTACGGAACACAACGGTAGCGTCAAAAAATGTATGGTGAACAAGACATAAATAACAGTAACTTGACGCAGCAGAAATCGCTGATGGACTTCCAGAGGCATAAGTAATGAGAAGCCGTGCCGCCGATGTTTTCCGCATCCATTTTATCATCCATTTGTTACCGCAGCAACTGCAAAATCAGTCAATTGTGCTTCACCTGTGTGTTGTTGTCCTTATAGCTTTAATTTTTTGACGCTACCGCTGCGTTCCGCGGTGATGAAACGACCAGAGGTTATGTCTATTACTTTAATGTAATTAAAAAACAATACAAAATCATTTGTCTTAATTCTACTCTTATCTCAAAGATTTGTATTGCAGTTCTGGTTTTTGTAGATTTAATCCCTAAATCCTACTATGATCATTTATAATTTATTTTAATAAAATTTGAATGCATAAAAACAATAAATTGAATTGAATTGTTTGGTTAGATGGGTTTCCTTTAACCAAAAATGATAATATAATTGTATAAAAAGACAACCCATAATTTATAGCTTTTAATTAAGTATTTACTAGTGTTAAGTTATTTTGATAAAAATCACAACTTAAACTAACCTTTTTTATCTTTCTTTGTCAATTAAGAAGTCTTAGTTATAAAAATTCTTATTATATTTGATTTTATTTTAAATATTTAATTGCATTATATTTTGTTGAATTAGAAGTGAAATTACTTGAATTCATAAATTAGAAAAGAAATTACTTGAAGTCATAGAAAAGTGTAGGGTTTATGTTTATACTCTGTAAACTCTAACATCTTTAGCTTTACATTTTTTATATTTTATGATAAATTAATTTATTTTAGTTCAATAAATAACTAATAGATCAATGTATAAGAAAGTATGTATGAATGAATGATACTGATTTATATAATTTACATTATGATCGCAGCGAGAAAATAAACATTGGAATATCATCTTTAGTTAATAGATGAAAATAAATGCATATAATTCACTTGAAAATTTTTATAACTTTGTGGTCATATTTTTGAGAATACAGTTTATTAAAAATAAAGATAAATAAGTTCAAAAATACCAAAAAAGTTCAAATATACATTTAAATTATCTAATTCGTATTGGTTTAATCAGTATAATGTAGTTTGATTTTAGTATACATTTTTTACCTCTCTATTGAAACATTTCTGATTATTCCATTTGGTTTTTAATATTAAATTAAGACATTTCAAATGTTCCAATTTTGAAAATTAATCTGAAAGTATTATATCCGGATCTATGAAGGGATCCAAGTTAATCTCTAAAAAAGTGCATCTTCTTGATAAAGTTTTTTCCAAATGTGGAGATGGGCTAAAAGACCAGAAAGAGGTTCATATCCTTATGGATGTGGAGGAACAATGTAATATAGTTTCACCAATTAGATAGATTAAACTTGAAATCTGTTGGTATTCAAGATCCATCTCTTCTCATTCGATCACAAGGCCTGGATAAAAATTTCCAACTTTAACAAATACTAGATTTTTGATCCGCACTTAAAAAGCGTGGATACCATTTTTATTGTTTTATCTACAGATGAATCGATAAATTAATCTTTATTTTGATGATATAAAATGTTACTATCTAATACTTTTGAGGTAGTTTTGTTTTCTAGTACTTTTGAATATATTTATTAATTAGTTAACAGAGGGGTAAGCAAAATTCAACAACATATCAACGGTAGTTGTCGAAAATAATCCCTTTAGTTTCAACCCCTGAAGAAGACATAACTTCACCTACAACAATACACCAAACACACGTGATACTGTACGTGTGAAAAAAAAAAACTTTACAGTGAAAGCTTTATAGTATAAAACGGTAGCAAATATAGATAAATGGTATCGTTCCACAGCTTAACTATTGGCATTAATGAACGGTAGGTTGATAAAACTTCAAAGAGGACTAAACCATTGAGAGTCTCAGGTTCCTTATAAGATCCTTAAGTGCACTCGCTGAAAAATCTTTCTCCATCTGAAATCAGATTAAGAATTATCAACATTTATTAGTATTTCATGTAAACATCAATACAAATTATCAATCGTGACAAAATATCATTAATTTGCAAATGAGAATTGTTATCAAATGGATCACCTGTGCAAGGACTGTGATATCAAGGGTGGAGTCTCCGAATGGCAATACGATACTATTCTCAATGCGCAATTGAAGATTCTCAATCGTGTTTAGTATGTTAAGCAAGCACCCTTTGCTCTTCTCGCAGTGGATTCGGATTAGAACGTCCTTTTGAACTACTTTGGCCTCGATTTCTGGCAATAGCTGATCAAAATTCTCATGATATGAAGACGAAGAAGTTGATAGGTAAGGTTGCTCATCGAAAAACACTTTAGATTTCTTCACAAGAATCATGGATTCCATTTCTCCTCTTGCTTCTTTCTCTTCCTTGAGCTTTCTTATTTGTTCTTGAAGTTGTTTCACACGTGAAATCGCGTCATCAAGAACCGTAATCTTGTCTGCCTGGAAAAAACAAGATGTTCTTAGCCAAAGAACAAGATGATGAGTATTCTCAAAATCAATTGACAATAACCTAATTCAAAACTTTCACTGTTAATTTTTTAGTGAACACGAAAGTACAATATTTATCAATTATATTAACACTTAAAATTTGCCACTAGATATAGTACCTTCTTAAGACCAGGAAGAAGTGCTGAGAGGGCAATGAATTTTTCGGAAAGCTTCTCACGACGCTTTCTCTCGGCTATAACATGTTCTTTTGCGAGAACCGGAGATCTTGTGGAAGAAGAACATGCTTTTCTTTTGCTTCCACAGCTAACCAATCGATCCATAATAATGTCTTCCTCATCTGGAGAAGAAGAAACATTACTAGAGAAATCGAAAGAAATAACTCGTGGTTTGTTGTTGATGTTCATCATCTCCTTCACCGCAGGCTTTGGCTTCTCTTTTAGGAAATCATGATTCATTTGATGATCAAAACTTGATGAATACTGAGCTCTTTGTGTATACATGCTCGCTTCCACAGGTGATACATTAATTTCTTCGTAACTATTAAAGTCGAAATTAATGTCTTCCAGAGAGAAGTCGTTTAAGAAGAAGTCTGCATCCATGTCCGAATTGAGCAAGAACCTATGTCAAGACAAGATTGTAAAGACAAGAGATGTTTTTGTTGGTTTTGTCCTAAAGGGTTTTATGAAAAGAAAGTGTTTTCAGGTGCTACTTTATATATTGACAACTTGACGCGGCATAGCTTTTTTTTTCCACTCCGTTACTACCTTGACCAGACATATAATGCATAACACGTGATGTAACTGATCGGAATAAATTATGTGCTATGATCGAATTTATTAGTCTTATTATTGTTCGCATAATTTGTTGGCTTCTAGAGTTCTGATATCACAATGTTTGCCGCGTCAACGAGTAAAGAAAAAACGGCGCCATATTTAAAAAAAAAAATTGAATAAAAAAGTATTTAGAATTTAATAATAGATTTGGTTTTATCTTATTTTCATGAAATACGAACACATGCATAACGCACGTATAGTGGATGATATATTTTCCCCTAACAGAGATTTTTTGGGTATAATCCAGATACTGAGCGTGTTAAATATTAAGGGAAGCTCTTGGAATGCATAATTATTAATATTTAAGATTCTAAAATTTAGTTAATTTAAAAAGAGGGCGCGGTGTCCATATGAACGGAATTGTAGAAACCAAAACCGAATAAAATTAATCAAGTTTAACCACACATAAATTATACCAGAACAAAAAAAGCAAAGCAAAAGAGCAAGGCTTTTGCATAACAAAACAAAAACCAAGGCTTTTGCATAACGAAACAAAAACTAAGGCTTTTGCATTAAGTTATCATCGTTTCTGAGCGGGGAACAAAAAAAGAACATGTTTATTGGAGGCTTTTAGAATAGGGAACTCATGATTTGATATTTTTTTTATTTTTTTATTTTTACATATTTTGGTTAAGAACCCATTTTTATATTTTTTTTATTTAAAAATTGGTTCTTAGTTTTTAAGTTAAAAGCTAAGATACATATTTTAACCAATCCAAGAACCTCATAAGCCCCACAATAAACTAATATGCCATTCACTTAAAGAAAATTGATATTTTAGGTTCTTGTAATTAAAGAAGATTAGTTTCGAGTTTTTTTGTAGTTAGTGTGCTAGTAATGTAAACGTCAAACAGTATTCTAATCGTTATGACTGATTTATGAAAATGAATAAGAGCGCAAGGAACAACCACGTATTTACGTGAAATATTAACGTTCGATTAGTTACGTGTACTGAACTGGTAAATGATAAAAATATCTACTGTTTCACACGAAACAAGAATACAACACTGAAATCTAAAGACCCATGAAACTAAGGCGAAATAAAAGACCTAAACTGAGCGGTATGATACCACAAATAATATGTGGACAACCTTCGCTGGATCATGTAGAGGGAACTGATAGAGAAACTCAAGATGTATCAACAACTATACTATTATTTACGAATCGAAAAACTCAAGATGTATCAATAACTATACTATTATTTATGAAATAAATTTTCGTATCTACATTCTCACATTAAAAGTTAGAGTTGTTAATAATATTTATACCATTAATGAATGAAAAAATTTAAATTAGACAAAAATAAATTAATGTATTATTATTTATTTAATTATAATATATTAATATAATTAAAAACTTGGAGAAAAATAAATGGAACACTTGATAGTTAAGTTAAAATTTAGTCTAAGAAATAATAAAGAAAAATAAATACATGTTTTAAAAAGAATAGATAACTCTTGTATATCAAGTACAATCTATACTATTATTTTTATTTTCAACAAAATACGTTTATAAAAAAAAGTAACCAAACAGGTTATATTATATTTGAAACTTATTAGATGGTGATCGGGGCAATTTTTTCATTCTATCTAATTTGTGTTACATATACACATTAATTTATTTGTCGTTCAAAAAAAAAAAAAATACACATTAATTTATTTATTTATATTTAATTTTTATCAAACAATAACTTCAGGTGTGTTATCTCAATTTGTATATTTTCTTTTAACCAACAGCAGTAACTTTTTGTTATGAGAAAATTTGTTATAGGTAAACAATTTCATTATTGATTTTTTCAGAGAAGACGACCTATTTACACACCAGAACTATCATATAGTAACAAATGTATTCAGTCTCGACATAATTACACACAGTTGAAGTCTAACAACTTATTTCCACACACGATAAAAGTTCAAAACTTGTTTCCACATAGACCAAGATTTGGCTTGGTTTTCATGGTTTATGACATTTACCAATAGTAAACATGTTTGTATCAGTTGATATTGGTACAATACGACCAAAACGAAGATCCAACTAGGGTTTGATTTAAACCCGACCAAAAACCCTTTTAAAAGCTCCCATTTCGATATCATTCATTAGAACCCTAAAATCTTAAAACTCAGAGAAGAGATATTGTTTCCCACAATGGCTTAATTCAGGTCTTGTGTAGGTTTATTAGATCTAATTGCACTAGGTAGGTTTAATCCAGTTTATATTATCTAACTGGGTCATAATCGGGGGTCGTCTTTGGTTTAGTTAGGTTAATCATTGGTTAAGTTCAATAATAGAGAACACTAACCAATTTTAAACCGTTATTTGTTGGTATTAGTTCACCTTTCAAAGTTTGTGTGGAAACGGGGTTAGAAATTTTGTCGTGTGTGGAAATAGGATGTTATACTTAAATTGTGTGCAATTACACCGAAGTTGAAAGATTGTGTACATTTGTTATTATATGATAGTTCTGGTGTGAAAATAGGTAGTCTTCCCATTTTTAAAAAACATAAACAATAACTCACCATGATAGTTTTCAAATATTAATACATGTACTATAAACAACTGCAAAATAACTGAAGATTTTTTTATAGGTAAACAATAAATTAGTTATATATTTTATAAACTCAACCCAATCTTAAATATTAAATCTATATTATTACTTATGTAGTGAATTTTTGAATTCTAACTCTCACGTTGAAAGTTGGAATAGTTAATTCCGTTGTTATCCTTAAGAAAGAGCTATATTTATTCATTATAGAAATGATTATACATAAATGAATTATTATTACTTTTGCCATCAAATGAATTAATTAACTATAAAAATTTGTCAAAATAAAAAGGGACATATTTAAAAATGGACATAAGCATAGTGACTATAATGTTTTGTTAGATAATGTTTTTTTATATATTTGCAGAAAAATAAAATATATAAATAATTATGTGTATATATTTATGGAATTACCAAAATACTCAATTTTTTTTGGAAAACCTTTTTTAGTTATCGTAGACTTTAATTTTTATTTATTTTTATCGACATTGATTTTATTTTAGGTTGTTGTTTTCGTAAATTTTTTTTTATAAAATAACTAAATCTGTATGTGCGGACGAAACACCTAGTTAGTTCAATATGCAAATCACCAATTGCAGAAAATTATTTAATGTTGATAATGAGTGTATGTATAAACATTGAAAAAATAAAAATAATTAACCAATAAATAGTTTGCTGTATATGTGAATTTTTTTAAAGAATACTAATTGAGATGTATAGAACCATTGAACATAAATTACAGTATATTCCCAAGTTACGCATTTACCGCTCTTTTCAACAATTACGTTAAACAATTACTAAATATTAGTAAGTTGTGTCTTTATATAAGAATAATATTTGTACAAATTTTTAAATAATTTTTCTAGAGCTTTCCTGCATATTAAAAATCTTGTTAATTAAGAACGTAACATTTTTATACTAAACATTTTCATAAGTAATTCAATATAATTAATACTTACTAAAGTTCTATTTTATTCATGGCTATTGAAAATACATAGATAGCCAAAAATCTATCTTTAAAACCAACAAACAGTCAAAAAGATCTTTTAAGAAAAAAAATCAACGTCCTACAAAGTCTTAAGAATCTCTAACGCGCACTTATTGGGCTTTCATTGTCTGTGTCAACAAATAACGTGTAAACCAGCACGTGTTTTTGGTGTTGATTTATGGGGTCTACGCAGCTTCATCATTATTCCCCACTAGGAAACAACACAGACCAAGAAAAAGTCGTAAGCCTTGAATCTGTCACTCTGTCCTTCTATTCGCTCCGTCCACCAAACTTAATTTTTTCTATGGGAAAAGTTTACTTTTAACTAATACTATTTTTTTAGTATCATCAGATCTATAAAATATATTTACAAAGATAAGAAAGTATTATCTATCATTAATGTTTTATAAAGTAACTAGATTATGATCCGCCCTAAAAGGCGGAAATTAATTTGTCAAATTCTATTTTAATTAGAGATATATAACATATTTTATTAAATATATATAAAATTGAATGGTGTTATAAATTGTGTTGTACATGTTGTTAGTTTGTATTTAATCTTGTTTCATTTTCATAATTTATATTCTTACCTTACCATTATTTTGTTGTTTGAATAAAAAATTCATGTTCTTGCATAACTATGATACTGTGATATGATGCAGGTGAAGAATAAATATATGAAGGTAAAGTTTGTGATATGAACATAAGCATACACGGTCTTTGTACTGAAGACACATTCATAATGGGTCACATAGGAAGCATACACGGTTTTTTACGATCAAATTATATTAAGAGATAATCAAATATATTTTAAAGATGTTATTGGTTAAGTTAAACTGATAGACGTCGGTTAAAATTTGGTTTAATTTAAGTTGGTTATCCGCATTTTATATGAGGCGTGATATATTTAGTAACAACTAAGAAAAAGTCCAAAATCTAAATAACAACTTCAAGTAGTAGATAAAAGCTAATCTCTGAATTAATAGATTAGATATCTAAACTATAAAATGGAAATTTAGAAAATAGGTGTAGAAACAATTTATCTTACAATTGAATATATCCATTCTTTTCCAGACTACGGAATAATTCTAGAGGGGGCATACTACCATCTGATAACTGCACTTGTTTTCTTTGCCGTGTAATTTTTGAGAAATAGCTTTGCTTGATGTAATTCGGTCCAATAATCAAAACCTAATGTAATACCTATAAAATATATAATCATTAAAGGTATTAGTTTCACACTATTTTTGGATAGTAACGTAAACCCGATTTGAGTTAGTAGTTAGAGTTAGCTAGAGGTTTGAGTTTCA